AATTGGTCGACGGAACAACGAAGAGATCCCATTCTGGGCAAAATAATTTCGGCCATAGAAACGGGCAAGCGACCTAGTCGGAAAGAAATTACCTCCGAAAGCCCTCTTTTAAAATCCTATTGGGCCCAGTGGGACAGTCTACTTATAAAAGATGGTTGCCTATATCGCAAATGGGAAAGTGAGGACGGTAAATCTCACCGGAACTTGATCGTCGTCCCAGACTCCAAAATAAGGGATGTCTTGTCGGAGTTTCACGATGGGCCAAGTGGAGGACATCTTGGCATAGCAAAGACCGCTGAAAAGGTGAAGCAGAGATTCTACTGGGTCGGCTGTCAAAAATCCATTGCCGACTGGATCGCCAATTGTGAAAGGTGCATAAGAGCTAAAGGTCCAACACGGAAGAGTCGAGGCTACATGCAGCAGTATAATTCAGGAGCCCCTTTTGAAAGAATCGCAATGGATGTAGCTGGACCGTTCCCAACAAGCGACTCTGGGAACCGGTATGTCTTAGTGGTCATGGATTACTTCAGCAAATGGCCAGAGGTTTATGCTATCCCAAATCAAGAAGCCAGGACAATTGTGGATGTGTTCAGCAAAAATTGGATTTGTCGTTATGGTGTTCCATCTGAGGTTCATTCCGATCAAGGTAGGAATTTTGAATCAGCGATCTTCAAGGAAATGTGTGACTCCTACGGAATTAAGAAAACCAGAACGACGCCCCTACATCCACAATCAGATGGCATGGTGGAAAGATTCAAACGCACCCTTGAAGAACATCTACGGAAAGTGGTGGACAGCGGCCAACGAGACTGGGATGAGCATATTCCGAAGTTTTTATTGGCTTATAGATCAGCCATTCATGATTCCACATCCCGGACTCCAGCCAAAGTTCTGTTCGGAAATGAATTAAAGCTACCTGGCGATTTGATATTCGGTGCTACCCCAAACGACGATGTGAACCAAGATGAAGACAGTCAAAACTCTTTCAGTAAAGTCCACGACGCAGTCCGACATCGAATAAAAATGGTTAGCAACCGCATGAAGGCAAGGTACGATCGAGCCGCAAATACCGATGGGTTCCGAGAAGGGCAACTGGTACTATTGTTCAACCCACAACGAAAGGACTATGCCCCAAATTGCAAACGCACTTGGAAGGACCCTACAAGATTGTCACGAAAATAAATGACGTCGTTTATCGCATCCAGAGGAGCGACAGTCCCAGGTCGAAGATGAAAGTTGTACATTTGGAGCGGCTGACCCCCTACGGAACGGGAACTGTGCCTATTCGGGACGAACAGGCTTAAGCGGGGGGCAATGTTACGAATATAAATTTAGATGAAGTCCGTTAATTTAAGAATTTGAATTGTAACGTAAATTTGTACTACGCAGTTTATTTGAATAACTTCACAACAACAACCACTGTATAGATTTTTCTACATCCTTCCATTTCCTCTTTCATTTTCTATTTTGTTATTGTCGTACAATTCTTGTTAAACGTCATCCCTCTTTCTTTGTTATTCCCTCGCCTGTATATGTGTTGTTGTTATTCCTCCTTCTTTGTTATTCCCTCGCCTGTATATGTGTTGTTGTTATTGTAAGTTTGTTTACTCAAGTTTGTTGTTATTGTTCACTCAGTAAGTTTGTTGTTGTTATTGTTACTCAATGTGTTTGTTGCATTGGTAGATTGTTCGTGATCTAGGTGTTACCAGATCGTCTAGAAACTTCTGTAGCGACAGGCAGGGCTCATATAAATAGAGGGAATGGAAAGGCAGTGAGTCAGTTGTGAATCAGATCGCGAATTGAAACCGTCGTGTAAAGTAAAGTTGTGTGAATAAAATCATTGTAATAATCGTAATCCGAAAGAACCTGCGTTTTATTTGGTACGAATTGTATCGGGAAATAAAACAACGTCTACACGGGAATAAGCGAAGTCCAAGAACGTAACAATATTATGAAATGTACATTTTAAATTGCGTGTAAATCGCGTAATTCTCAAAATCATTTGATGCGCATGCGGTTTCCAGGAAGTACTGAAGTTTATCTTCCAATCCATATATATTTTGCGAAATTTCATTTGACGGCTAAGATGTGCCACACGTTCCATTGAAGTACCCAAAAAATCGTAAAACGCGAATATTTTCCGAAAACTCCATATGCCATTAACGCGCATCCGATTTCGGTGTGCACCCTAAAAAAATACATCGATCTATACCATTTCAATGTGGTCCATTAAGAACCATGGATGTGCCAGCAAAATCTATTTTTGAGATAAATTGCGTACATCTCTCTTTCGGCTGAAGTTTTTAAAGTTCTCTTTTCGAAAAAGATCAAAATCCATATGAGTTCATTTATTGAAGCGGAAATGATACACAGAAAACGCAAATAAATCCGCGATATTTTCAAAAACATTTTTTGCCAAATTTCGTGTTTTTGGAAGGCCAGTTCCCGCCGTTCTAATAGATGGATTTTCACGAAGAAGTTTTTATATCATCCGAAACGTAAAAAACCTTATCGATCGCGGGTAGCCATATCATTCAGTTGACAGATCTAAAAATTTGGACCGAAATATAGGTTTTTTAGAAATTTGATCGCACAAAATTCGCACCTTCGGATGAGTATTACTCTGAAGCTGTGCATACTACATACACAAAATACATATCAAATGACGCAGATTCGCGACTACAATAATCTTATAATCGATTTTTAGAAATTCCTGTTTGCGTATTAAAGCTAGAATTAAAATTAAAAAAAACACTCAAAATCGAGCTTCAAAATGTCAGCATCATTTAAAGGTAGATGCAGTGAAAATTTTGAAAAATTATACATAAGGGGCGTAGTCCCCATTTTGTTGGCTTCTAGTTTTATTTTGACACGAAGACCGTGCAAGGAGTGGCTTAGTCACAAATCGATAGAGAACATAAAAAAACTGGTTCGCCTCAACGTGTTTTTACACATTTTTTTACATTAAAGTAGACACAGCTTCCACCAAGATAAAGTTTGGAGGTCAATATCATGAGCAGTTTGCAACGACAGATCAATTAACCCAAAACTATTCACTTTTTTTCATATACTTAAGTAGTTCCCGAGTTATAAAGGGGTGAACCTCCGCTTCAGCTATGTTAAAAAATTGGCAATATTGCCCATATATGAGAACTATATATAAATCTCAACCGTTTCTAACCTATTAAAATTAGATTTCGTCTTTGGGCAAAGTGAATGTTCCGAGTCAATTAGTATCCCAATTGTATAATAAGTAACTATGTGTGAATAAATATTATACCCTGTAGGGCATTCAATTATACGTCTTTGTGAAAAAAAAACATTTTCGGTTTCTGTCTTAAGGGCCCCATACACTATACATCATGCCTTCATGCCGATGAACCCTTTTTTGTATATGTGAGATTGACTAGTGTATGGCAAACTCTTCAATCACTATTCCTAAAAATCGATTTTTGTCCCAAAAATTGCATTTTGAGTCTTAAATTCAGTAGTTTTTTATTCCGTCACAATTGTATAATTTTTGTACACAAAATTATTTACTGACAACTTTCAAAATGAATATTATTCACCAGATTGATAGGGGTTCATTTTCAAAATCAAAACTATTTTGATTTTCTTCATGCATTGTGTGTGTCACACATACATAAATAAACTTTCAAAAAATAACACATACTATGATAAATGCTGTACGGCATGATGTACAGTGAATGGGGCCCTTTAAACCGACTTTATGAGGATTTATTTGACATATATGCAAAGGAATTGACAATTGAAACCCACTGGGTTAATGAAATCTGGTTAAATGTAAACGTACTATTACACTCAGCGATTTATCGTTTAGTATTGTTGCTGTTGACATTGAAAGCAAAATCTTTTAATTAGGCTCTTCTTTGTGATGAAACCAACTACGCACATCATCAACACAACCACATCAATGCAGAAACCTCAAAGCTGATTTCGTCTTCGAGAGTAGTCGTGGTCATATTTAAAACTGTCACCAATTAAGATTGTCAAATGTGAAGACCGTTGGTTTTCACACTTACATAGTGAAACCAACACTTACATAGTGCGTATATTCAAATTCAAATCATTTAACAAAACGTCAAAACTTTCATTGAGGTTTAAGAATTAAAATTTAGCTTCATATAATAATGATATTAATTTGTCAAATCGGTTGGTATGCACTATTGTGTCGTTATAAATCCATGAAAAAAAACGAAACATTCTGTTTAAAAACATATTTCTAAAAACCTTCGTTTAATTTTAAAAATTTAGAAAAACGAAATTGAAACTGTACTGTCGGTCATTACTTTCATATTATTCTACAAAAAAATTAGGACCAATTCGTTGGTAAATTTTTGACAAGATTTTAAAAATCCCCATAATGGAGAATATACCAAATAGTGAACGGATATAGACAAAGGTATACCAACATGCAACACTCAACATATTTAAAGCATACGGCAGTTTTTATACTGATCACAATTATATAAAAAAATTCAAATTCCCTGGAGCTGATGTTCACCCCTTTTAAAACACGAAATATTATTATGTATTTTACATAGAATAAAACTTTATTTCCGGTTTTAACGCATACGTGAATTAAATTTACTTCATTACCGTATATGTAATTCACCATATAAAATTTCAAAATATCAAAACTTCTTTTTTACAAATAAAAGTGTCATAAAATACAATAAAACACGTTTCGTATATTTTGTTCTTATAAATGTTAATATTCGATTTTACGTTTATTTTGTTCTTATAAAAATTAATATTCGATATTATGTTTATTTAGCAAATATAAAGTGTAGTATTGCATAAATATGTTTATATTAAAATAAAATATAATTTCTTTTTATGAAATTCACTGTTTCTACGTTACAGTGCCCATAATCTGTCCGGCACTGTATATCCTACAAATGTATATATGTATGTATATAAATTATATCAAAAATTATTGTTAATAACAATAATATTTTGAATGAAAAAAAAATATTTTTCCGATGACATCATCCTAATTCTTGTGAGCCGAAGACGTAACATAAACCGGGGCCACAATTGTACTTGGTATATGACCGACATTTCCGTTCACATTTCGAACCTTCCACCACTTCCTTGAATCGTCGATAATCTAGGGGAAATGTACACAATGGAATATTAGAAAATGTCTATGAATAACGACTGGGGAATGCAATAGCTTACCTCTAAATATTCTCCCTTTACCACACTTAACTCTTTGTCATTGTTTGCAATACGCGGGTAACACACCACAACTACTTTTGCACCTTTCATGCGCAATTGACTTAGCCACTTTTCATTTAGGTTATCCATTTCCATAGGTGAATGGCGTGTCTTATATTTCCCCAAATGCTGGCTTGAACTATGGGCATTATCACTGATGTCTTCCCCGGAAATATTTTGTATTTGCATGCCGCCTAGTGCTTGGTCTTGTGTTCGTAGACCATCCTGAACGTGATTTACTTCGATTTCTTCACCAATAGAGGGGTCAAAGTTTCTTTGTTCGGACATTTTATGTTTGTATTTGTAGCCGGAGAGCATATTGAGGCGCGATGATGCCGACGTCCCAGGTAAATGGCCATAATCAATCTGTTGATCATCTGCAAGTCCATATTGGTCTGATCGAGGCAGTGGGAACTCATTGCCCATGCTATGAGAAGGTCGATTATAGCCTCTAATGTTACCCATTTCTTCTCTTTCGCACCATTGTTCAGCGGGAGTTATCCACGATGCACCTAAAGACTTCCACAACTCGGTCTCTTTGCTGCTGACACAATTCATTAAGAACTGTATTGTATCACTAGTCAGAAGTGGCTCGACAACATTCGATGCAAGCTGGGACTCGGAATATGTATCGCGTGCCGCCTCTACAATCAATGCAAGAGGTGTGAATAGAAAATGAACCAGTTCGGGTGCATTGGGGTCATGGATGTGTGATTTGAGTTTTGAGAGAAGATTGAACGACAATTTGAATTTGGCCAAAATATCAACAAATTCTTGTTCTGTAGGAGGGCGAGTGTGTAAGTTTAACAGCCCGTCGCCAATTTCACGTTTCTTATATTTTCTCCTCTCGATTTCACGCACGGCAGCTGCAGTGTGTTGCAGTCGGGCAATAAATTTCTCAATGTCATCGAAACAGCTATTCAAAAGATTGACTTCCCGTTCGTATTTTTCACTTACAATATCTTCAAACATTCGAGATTCGGTGTTGGCACCAACATTGGTGCTATCTAATTGGAAAATAAAGACATCAAATAAGAACGTTTAAATTTCCAAAGACAAATTATCTACTTACATAGCTCCCGTGAATTCTTGTAAAAATCGGCTTCTTCATTTTTTCTTAGACTTATGGCCTGATTAGAGTATGTCGTTGGTGACTCTGTTCGAGCTGAACTGTTATTCAGAAGATATTTAATATCCTCTACTAAATGCACCGCTGATATGCTTTGAGACTGTTCCATTATTGAAAGAAATATTAAGATATTAAATTATAGAAAATATGGAAACAAAATCAATGACATCTTACCTGGAATATATGCATCTCCGACTGAACTCCATCTCCAGCTGAAACAATGAACACTAATACGTTATTGTACAATTCCAGCACGTCATCAGATGTGAATGCCGTTGGGCTCTCTATTAAATAGTAGGGAAATCGCTCAATAAGTTCCTAAAACAATCGAAACAATTGAAAATGATTCATTGGCGTTCGTGACATTGTGTGTGTTGCTGTATATGGTGCACCTACCCCCGTTTCAAAGTCAGTAATTAGCACACTGTTTTTGTCCAAACACAACTTCATTTTTTGTGACCAAATTCCAGTGTTCTTTTCCATTTGTAATAGACGTCGCATGCCATCGATGGGGGTGACAATTCCAGCGTCTTCGTTCACTGTAAACGTGGCCAAATGTTCCATAATGTGACTGGAATTTTCTTGATATCTACCACTTTGGTGTGGTCTTTGGCCATCGTCCATGTCTTTGCTGCTTTGTCTGGCGACCTCGCCTTCATTATGCCGAAAATGTGACATTTTCCCGATATTGATTCTGTCAATTACAAATACAGCGTAGATAGTTCACATATTTCAATAATTCTATGCAACAGGTAGTCATTTCTTTTGGCCAAAACTGATACACACAAAAATTTTATTGTCTTACCTGAAATGAAAATTTCTTCACTACCAATAAATGAAAACCCGTTAGGAAGTGATCAGAAACTAAACGAAACTAAAGGTAATTGCGTTTTAAGCCGCATATTTATTCGGTTGTGTAGTGGACGCTTGCGTAGCGTTAAACATAAAATGTATGTATTTATATTATCGATATATAATAAAAAATGAATATTTAGAATGAATAAGTATATATTTTATATAGATTATATACATTCATTTTAGTTATTAGAGGCGTGGGAACGAACGTATATAAAAAAGATTTAAGTCCAATAAATGTTTATTATTGTTTTAAATAAACAAAAGAAACTATATTATTACTAAAATACTATAGATAAATTAAAATTAAATTAGTTTTATATACATTTTCAAAAAAACTTAACGACAACATAATCCAATTTTCAAAATTAAATATTTATTTTGAAATCGTCTTACCTGAAAATTTCTTCCCTACCAATAAATGAAAACCCGTTAGGAAGAATCTAAACGAAACTAAAGGTAAATGCGTTTTTGTCTTTTAAGGCCCAAAAATTTATTTTTTTTTATTATTGTTTATTCCAATAAAAGTAAAGTTCTATTATTTTATTAAAATAAATTAAATAGAAACTACGACAGTAAAATACAAATTTATTGTTGTTGTTGTAACAGGTTGGCTGTTGACGAAAGTTCTTTCCTGAAAAATGTTGATAGAGGAAAACGGAAGAAGGAAATGGAAATATATTAATTAATTAGGAATTCGGATTTGAAGAGGGTAGCCCGAGAAATTGTGCCACCTCTATTGGCTTTAGCCATAAGTCTATGGGCAATAGACTCGTAGGCTCGGACGGACAATTGAATAAATGGTGTGTGTCGTGAGGGCTTTGCTGGCAGGAAGGACACCTGTTTAGGGTTCCGGGGTCAATGCGCTCTCGATACGAATTGAGTACATTGCTGTATCCGGACCTTAGTTGTGCCAGAATTGAACTGGTTTGCCTAGGAAGAAGCCTCTCACTCTCCGAAATTGCAGGAGGATGTTGTTGTAGGACTTTATTGCATCTGTTGCCATTTATGGCATCGGAGACCGCCAGTTGATGCACGGATTTCATCGCGTTCGCTATCGACAATCTGTTGACGTCCGGCAAATTTATTGTTGTAGCCGTTACTTATATAAAATTGGGAACAGCCGAATTTATTAAAATTCTAATTATTTAATTCGTAAATTAAATATTTAATAATTTTTAAATACATATTCGAAATTATAATTACAATCCCACTGATCAACAAATAGATTAGACATAGAACGATACACCACTTGAAATATATAAGTAAAGTTCAGTTATGGTTATTTGGTTATTTCAAAATAGTCAGTCCCAACCATTTATTAGCGGATAAAGTATGGCATTATTCATCAAGATGTAAGACAGATGATTATAGTTTCGGATCTGACCACTGATCTAAATTAGTTTCCTTAGATTTTTCTTGGAGATATTCTCGCCAGAAGCAAATTTCAATTGTAACAAATCGAAGTATTTAGGAGGTATTATGTTGGTGATTGTTAGGAACCAATCAACCAACGAAGGGGGACTAGATATTGAAGCATTTAGGTTACCGAGTAACATTTGCGTAGACCAATATGAAAAATTTCTTAGTTGACCTGAATGCTAACAAAAATTTCGAACCGTAATATTTCATGTACACAAAAACTGACAAAATGTTGCAATCTATCAAGACAAATAACTGAAATTGGGGATAATACAGCAGAAAACCTTTACAAATATTTGAGTAAAACACTTATAGCACAACATTAAGACAATCTCTTGATGACAATATGCTATGTCAACACTGTGATTACAATATAAAATTAATTAAATTGTAAATGAAAACTTTATATAGGAGGTGATGCTAATGTGGTATACCCATTTGTTTTTAGATTGCCAAATTTTTATTTTTTATCCAATTAAATTGAAATTTTACACTTAACATACTACATGTGTTGTCTTTCCATGTATCAATTTGAAAATAATATTATTCTAACAATTTAAGAGATATTTGAGAAAATATTTGAAATTCCATTAAAGTTGATTTTAAAAAAAGTGTAGGTAATGTGGTATACCACATGATGTTAATGTGGTATAGTATAATTTTCACTTCCAATTGATATATTATATAATTCATTGGTTTTAATGAATGTGAACTAGCTCGAGATTTATGTCTGTTAAGATTTTTAACGGATACGTTGAGTGGAACTTTAATTTTTATTATATAATAATGTCTACACATGACAATATTTAATTTTTGTACGGAGAAGTAGTTAAATCCCATAACCTTTGTTTTTCATCCTTATGATGCATGGTAGGCTCTCGTAGAGGACAAATGTTTCAAATAGTAATGAAATTTTGTCTTGTGTTGGCTTTTTCCATACAGACTCAAGGTATACCACATTACCTGCACTTGTGTTCACTGAATAATTGTCTAGTTTTTTTCCTAAATTGGTAAATATGTGGTGCAATCGCGCATATTATTTGATTTTTTGTACTTACTGATTATTTTAATGCCTTCATAATAAAGATTAAAATAAATCTGTAAAACAAAAATTATTTTTAAACTTCAACCGAAAAAAGTCAATTTCATGAAATATTTAATTTTTGCTACTGATTCTCAACGTGAGTTAAATAAATAAAACAGATCATTGCTATCTTATTTTTTTGAGAACAGCAAACTATAAAACATGTTTCAGTTATTCAAAAATTTTCAGTTTACAAAAAAAGTGACTATACCACATTACCAACCTATACCACATTTGCATCACTTCCTATAACTAATTACATTTGTCGAAAAAAAAAACATTTAACAATAGTTTACAAAATTATCACAGCATTTTCAGATTTGACTACAAAAACCTAACTAAATAAAATTTTAAATTAGTCTGAACTTATTTTTGAAAATCAAAAATTTGTAAATTCTGAAATCGCTTGAAATTTTGTAACTACTTATTCAAATAATCGGTTTATCACATACAACAATTATCGAGTTATCGAAAAAAAATTACGTGACGTCAACATTGTTCTTGCAGCTCCATCTATTATGACAGTACAGTCCTGTTGTTCTGCCTCATTGACAACAACTTATAACACCAAACAAACAATTTGGCAGCATTTCAAAATGATGTGCAATATTGACAGCATTTAACAGACAGATGGCACTAAGTCCTAGTTGGAATTGCACCAAAAATATTACGAAGTAAAAATTTAAAAAAGATAGTCTTGATTTAGATTAGGCGAGTTTACTTGCGGCAAGTCTTTGTTTGTAGGAGAGAGGGGCAAGGGGAATAGAAATGAAAAAAAATACCGACAATTTTCTGGCAATTCGTTTTGTGTATTTCGTATTTGTTGACATTTTATATAGATTTAAATGTGAAAAACCAACAAATAGAAAAATATTTTGGAAACCGAATTGCCTTGTATAAACGCATGAAGCAAGTTCAAAAGAGAACGACAAGAATTGCCGCAAGTAAACTCGTCTAATCTAAATCAAGACATATATACAAACCAAATAAAAAACTTAAATTTTTGCTGATTTGCGTTCTCCTATGTTCGATGTGTGGAATGATGGACGATTGAAAAATAGGTGAAATAAATTTGATTCGAATAAAAATGAAATTAAATAAAGTAAAATGAATTAACACTTAGTAAACAATAAGGAAGTTCTCAATGGGAATAGTTTATTAAAGTGGTATATTTGGAAATACAGATATGTATTGGAGGGCAAAAGTTTTGGATTAAGACTTTTAAATTTCTTACTCTGGCTTATGTCTTACTGACTTATTACTATCAAGAGTATACACATCTCTTTGCTACCTCCCTTAGAAAACCCTTTTTAATTAACACTAGGTAGCCGAAGGCAGTCATTTTGACCGTTTTTCAATTTCAAGTACAAAAACAAATGTGTATATTAAGACCCAGCTTTTTAAAATTTGGTGACTTTTTCTATCACATAGAACTACGTTTATTAATCATAGTAGCTGCTTCCTCCCCCCTTTCATTCCCCGTATTCACATGTGCTATACCTATATTGCCTAAAAGCGGTCATTTTGACCTTTTTGAAATATTAAATAATCAAACTACTTTTATTATTGTATAAAGTGCTTTTCTTATATTACCAGATCAGTACAACAACATCGAAACCCGTTTGATACTCTAGAAACACAAACGAACACACAAATCGGGAAAAATAAATTTTATATTTCCAGTCGATTTCACTCTTAGAGTAAAGACTTCCTCTTTTTTAACCTTTTGTCCGCGTCCTTATTTTTTATAAAGGGAAACTTGAGAGCCCTCCCGCATAAAAAAAATTATAACAACGTTTTGTATGATTGTAAATAATGTAAAAAATATTAATAAATAAGTTTAAAAAAATTTCTTTACAAAATAAAAATTCTTTCAGAATGAAGTCATTTTGACCGATTTTAGGCAATATAGGTATATACAAAATTCCCGTCTTTCTAGTGTTAATAATTCTGCATAGCAAAGTATTTGCTGCACACGGTCTAAAGGCGGACTTCCTGGCTACAAGGTTAAGAAACTTAAACACATTATGGCTTAAGTTGAGTTTAGGGGTTCATCTCTGATCTTAATCACAGGTAGATCTCATCCCCTTGATCACGAAAATATGTCATTCATGGGGCAATGGCATACTTCTCGATATATGGACCTCTGAAGTTCCGGAATTCATAGGCTCATAATTTCTCCATTTATGGGCCGATTATGGTAATATTGGTATGGTACCATTTTATTCCCACACTGCAGGTTGTGTGTTGCATACGCTTTACATTGTCCGCTGGTCCGCACTCCACAACATTTCACAACCAATGAGCAACTATCCACATAATAGGCCACATTCGTCAAACATTTCTTCGATTCACAACGCCCATGTTTGATGTGTATGGGCCGCTTTAGTTTTGCAATTCTCTCATTGCCTCATTCACAACAATACGGCTTCTTCGGCGGTGTCCCTCACACCTCATTCGTAAATATTCCGTATTCCTCTTTGGTTCGATCTTTATCGGTCATTTCGTATTCTCCCCCCTTCGTTGCAAGTGGAACGCTTTTAATTTTTGGGCAAAGTTGTCAAAGTGATAAGAATGAGCGGTGGGAACATACATGGCTTGAGCTGGTTTCCGAATATACCGGACAAATTCGTGACATGGGGTGGACAGGAGATCAAACTATATGAGGTAGGACGCAATAAGGCCGAATCTGAGGTCCGAGGTAAGTAGTACAAATTAAAACATATGCTAGAATGGTTGATGACTGCTTGGAATTTCAGCTCGTTTGCCGAATATTCCTGCCACCTTCTTGGCGATAGAGAGTCGCTATGAATATGCTCGATGTGTTCAACCGTCCTTTCACAAAGATCGTCCAACAATTGCTGTTGGTTTGGGAGATGGAAAAGTGGGCATCAGCAACTTCCATGAAGTTATGGACAACAGTTGGGAATACAGTGAGTTCGATCGTATGCAATAGGAAGGAAACTAAATGTGCATTCATGCATTGTATTATTATTATTTTTACATACTTAGCTCCCCGTCAACAACGAATGTGCCTTTGTTTAGCCTGGAGTGAAAATAATCCAAATATGCTGGCGATTGGTCATGATCGTCATCGCTCGGATTCCTGCATTACGATATGGGATACAGAACGAGGACTGCCAAAAGAAAGCGGTATGTATGTTTATTTCTATGTATAGTTTGTAATAATAGAACATACAGGATGTTGGACCCTGGATACACTTTCAGAATTGTGGTGGACGCCAATTGACGACACTGAAAAGATGGCAAATATAAATACTATTCAATATTAAATAAAACATTGGATTTCTCTATTTAGTATGTTCCTTCAATCTGATTTCATATGTAGACCATATGGTCCAACATATACGACATCACAGTGCCCGATATTTCGAACCACTGTCAATTCTACAACTATCATTCTATTATCTTCAATATGTATCTTACGAAACTTTCACCTTTTGCGTTAGATCTATCAGTAGTGTCGCCTTCAGGCGTTAATATTAAATTTCTGAGAGAAGTCAACATGAAGCATGAGACTTTTGTTAAAGGCAGACCTATCCTTATGTACTATAATCCAAATACTTGAGGTGGGCTAATATAATTCCCTGAACAGAATTGTAAAAAATATGTTGCCACCTTCGGAGGCAGCAATATGAAAGCAATAACAGACGTACAGAGCCAATCGGATTGTCTTGCCCTTAATTATGATGCTTTATCCTGGACATTATGACAAACGACTGGATATTTCGACATGCGAGGGTAGCGAATCATAATATTTTGTAGATTAATTTTTGTAATGTATTTTTCACTTCGAATTCGGACCATTCATTTCACTGTTTATGTATAGTGTTCTACTAAAATAAAAAAACAATACATTCCATTTTAGGATCAAGTTTCTTTGGTGTATCTGAATCTGCCCATTCACTATGCTGGGATAAGAATCATCAAATTTTGATAGCCGGAATGAACCAGAAGCAAATAAAACTATATGATCTACGACGTAAGTTGAAAGCCTGTCATTTTTGTTTATCTTTTTAAAACCCACATTTAAATAACTACAGAGAATACCGCCACATGTCAGTCGATACAGACCAAAACTGTTTATGGTTTGGGGGTAGCTCCTAATGGAAATTATCTGTGTAGTTTCTTCGATTCCGTCATTATGCTGTGGGATTTACGTGCAATTGATCGACCCTTGCTGCAAATACAATCGGCAAAAAATCATCTACATTTAAGTTGGTGTCCAACACGATCCAGTTTGCTATCTTCGCTTCAACGTGAATCGCCGTATATTACTCTGTATGACATACGTTGTGTAGATGTGGAGAAGAGCCGTGAAGTTTACCACGTTAAGAAACAATTGTTGCCATTTCATACGAAGCATCATGCCTCCCACAAGGGATACACCCTTACGGCATTGTCGTGGCACCATATGGATTTCGAAAGAGCTCTGTTGCTCTCCGAGACTGGAAGTATAATGGATTTTCATTTGCCACTGTCAATATTAACGGCCTATAGTAATCATAAGAAATTGCCATTATTGCTGCAGAGGCCGTTATCAGCTCCTAATACGCCTGTACACAGTAGCCAAACTAGTCAAACGAGTTCGTCCGAATTGAGCAATGCCAAGTCCTCGTTAAATTTCCATGTTGTCGACAATAACCTTCTGGAGGAAGATTTGGTGGACGAGACCAGGGAACGAGCCTTGAGTGACTATGGACTAAAGATGGATGGCAAACGATTGAACGGAGAATTTCATTTGACACCCTACTTAAAGACTGTTTGGCTCAGCTTAGCCAATGTTTATCGTAGTGAAGAAAAGTTGATTGGTCTAAAAAGTGTTCTGGGTATTGGATTAAGCCATACATCCGAGGCATTTATGAATACATCGAGAATTGAGACGCATGTTCTGCAATGGCCAGATTTTATAAACAATTCAAGTAATTTGGTGTGCTATAGGTAATATCAACAAATTGGGAGAAGAGAACTTATCTTCAAAATTGTAATAATTGTGTACTTATAGAAGTGATCAACGTGATACCGCTTTAAAGTTATGTGGCTGGGCATCGGAACAAGATTTGGATCGTTTTATAAATACCCTGTGTGAAAATAAGGTTAGTACCTTGTCATTGTATTTTGAAATTCGATATAATAAAAGATATTGGTGTTGATTTAGGAATTCAGTCGAGCTGCAATGATTTATGTTTTCCACTTGAAAGTTCTTGCTGCTTGTGACATTTTATCCAAGGCTGTCGATCAGTCTCGCGATCCAAGCATGTTCCGCATTGCCGCCATTGCTCTTTCTTGTTTCAATGCCGATCGTACGAGTACTGCCTGGCGCAATCAACGTTCGATAGCAAACAAACAAATTCAAGATGCCCATCTCCGAGCTATATTCTCATTTCTGGTTGCTGACAATGATAACTTTGATTTAGTTTTGGTACGTACACATTGAACATCTAAATATAAGATAAAATAAAATTACTTTTGATTGTGAGAGTTCCTTCGGGTCCTACAAATTCTCACACATAAAATGGAAAATTGAATTACACCGTGTTATATATATATATATATATATTTTTTTTTTAAATCATTACAGTCAGAGGAAGGCATATCTTTAGCGGATCGTATGGCCTTTGCATGTAAATATTTATCTGAATCGAAATTGGCAGAATATGTAAAACTGCAGATACAAAAATCTGTTGAAAAGGGCGACTTGAATGGCCTATTACTTACCGGAGAGTCCCAGGATGGTATCAACATACTACAATCTTACATGGATTCCACTTTTGATATCCAAACTGTAGCACTCATTGCTATAAACTATTTTCATCGCGAACTATTCAATGATATACGAATACAATATTGGATTACAAGGTAGGGTTTTGGTTCAGTCATTCATTTGGAAATATAATAATGGTTTTTTATGTTTCAGCTACATGGACTGTTTAAATTCCTGGGGCTTCTGGGAGAAACGAGCCGAGTTAGAAATAAAAATTGCAAATTTACGTTCCACCTTCCGCAGCCCACGCACAGTTTATTTGTCATGCAATTTTTGCGGAAAGTCGGTTTCAAATGCTTTACAAGAAGATGCTCGAATGCGCAGTGTCTCCTCCAATGTAAATAAGGTAAGTTAAAGCTTTCATAAATTCTCCGTGCATACATATCATATATTTACTTCACGTAGCTTTCGTCCTGCCCGAGTTGTCGCAAACCACTGCCTCGTTGTTCCCTATGTTTATTGCATATGGGCACTACGCTTAATGCCTATACAACGGGCGAAGGGGGAAACGAAAGTCAAGGGGTCCCTTCTAAGCCATTTTCCAAATGGTTTTCATGGTGTCAAACGTGTCGGCACGGTGGACATACTGAGCACTTGATGCAATGGTTTAAGTAAGTTATTTTATTGATAATTCCAAAAAATGGATCAGCTTTTAATCTCAGTAATTTCTTTCTTTAGACAAAATGCCGAATGCCCAGTATCATCTTGTTCATGCCGCTGTTTTGATATGGATGTTACCAATCCCGAAGCTTCAATAGATCTCTCCTAAAAAAAGGCTTTCATACAACTTAAAAGACTTGTATTGCACCTTACTGCTGGGATGTGCTTTGGATCCCGCTTTACTCTACGTTTGAAATGTAGAAATACATATTTTGTTATGTTACGCCATTGATGAAATGCAAAAGACTTAAAAAGCCTGTCGTTTTTTACCCAATCATCGTAGGATTTTTATAAACGCTCACAACGGATAGTGAATAAATAAACTATAAAACGGTAACCAAAAATAATTCCTAACACGTACATACATATGTATATTAGACTTAAGTCCATAATGTTTTATATGCTTTAGAATGTTCATGAAATATATTATTTACAATTGTAATTTTAGTTTGAAAGTTCAACAACAACAATCTTACTGGAGTTTACTAAAAGAATTTTATGCAGTAAGATTTTGCAAACTCGTCCAATTTTGGATCAGCTGTTTTATGACCAAACACAAAAATTATTCAAAACATTTTTTTAATTTGCAAAGTTCAATATGAAGTTAAGTTGTATAAAAATTACAGAAAATTCGTAAGTAATGCAAAGCTTCATTAAATTAGAACTAATTTTATTTTTTAAGTTCCAGAAAAATTTTAAATTTTTTAAGTTCCAGAATAAAGGGCAATGTATTGATGCAGGAAGCTTAAAAATTCCCGGGAACATACCAAATTATTTTTTTGTTCATTTTATTTTTAATATTAAATGCAATATAAAAAATTGTGTTCGTCCTTTGTTTGTTGTTGTTGTAGCAGCCCTATTGCTTTTACACAATGGGCTGAGGTGACAGACGTTGGTCGAGTAAGACTCGGGTCGTTTCGGATCGTAGACCCCTCTGTCGTGGAAACGTTGTTGATGTTTATTTTGGCGCAAATAAAACGTTTTCTTGAATCAGCTGTTTATTTGCTAAATCTTACTAAATTTTGTCTGTTTACTTTTCTCAGTATTGTCGCAAAAGAGAATAAAAACGGCATACTCTCTGAACTAGAACTTACTGAGTAAATGTTACTGGAAAAGTAACCAGACACCCCTAATATTAGCTATTTTATTTTTCCTCCGTACTAAATTGTATTCCGTATTTTTCTCTTATTTGATTTCAAAGTACCAAATTAAACTAATATTTTTACAACAATGTTCTATAAATGAGAATCGACACTGCAAACATTCGGTAGTGTGTTATTCACTTCAACATCTAATAATTATCTATTTCTGCACTTCTTTTTTGGTAAAAAGGTGATACTTTGTAATTATTGTAAAAATAATTGCTGTTTGTACAGGTAAGTCAAAACTACTGTAAATCGTAAAGGTTCCATCCCATTTGCGATATTATAAAGTTTTAAACATAAATTTGAAAAACGTAATCAAAAACTTCAAAATACCGAATATTGGCGGAACGTTATATGGGGACTTTCTTGTGGAACTTTCTTTTTAAATTATAGCGACTATCCATTAACAATCTATTCAGAACTGGCACGGACTTGGGGAATCCGACAAAGCATTGTGATGGCCCATTGTGTTCACACAATGTGATTTCTGTTCAGTGTGACAGAATGACAAAGTGAAGAAATTAAAGTGCGAGTAAACGCCGAGAGTAATTATGACTCTCTTAAAGTAGCCTAATGCCTCGTCATATAATTAGTGACGCGCATGAATAGATTAACGACGGACGTTAGAGCTCTGCAAACTGCTTCAAAAAGTGGTATTCTGTATTGAAAAGTGATTAAAAGGGATCCAAGGTGTTTGGAAATTGTTGATTTTCAATGATTAGAAAAAATCGTGTTTTTGCGCGATTCGAGAAAAAATTTGCAAATTTAGAATATTTTCATTTTTTAGTGAAAATTTTAATTTGTTTTGGATTTTTTATTTGACCTTCTGCAATTTGACTTTTGTTGTGTGGGATCTCGTTACTGGGATTTTACGTTACTAACGTGAGGAGAGTGTCACTATGACATCTGCCAGCTGCATCTGCCATTGGGCAAATGCACGATGCCAAATCAGACTTGTTGTCCTGTATGAAAAAGACGTGTTGTCACAGACTCCTCCTTTTGAGTAGTTAGTTGTGGGGAAAACGATCGGCTTCGAGGGCATTTGGGTATTCTCCCCGGTTCTTCTAACTTGGCAGGTCGTTCTGCAGCTTACGAGCGTTGTGCCTCGGTAGTCACTCAGGCGGCTAAGGAACCTCAACCCCGACGGGTGAGACATGGGCGGCTATCGAAAGTCCAAGGACTAGCAGCCTCCAAAGATGTGCTAAAAAGGTGGTCTCAGAAGTGGGACCAAGTCTTGCGAACCTTGGTGCACGCGTCGAGAGGGAGAAAATAGCCAAGTGCTAAGTTCAAGATGGGTCGTAGGGTCATCGTCCAGAAGGTCGATCCGGCTATTAAGCCCGACATCTTCATGGAGGAATGGTAGCCCTAAATTTCATTGAGAAGATGTCGTGGAAAGACGCCGACAGAAATGCCAACGTTATCTTGGATGCTCGATGCTCTTTTAGCGACAGGGAGGTGCTACATCAACTGGATCTCCTTTTAGGCGCAACCGCATGATGGCGTACATCACTGTTATCGCTGCTTCGATAACAGAGTCAAGCTATGCCATTTTGTTACAGCGGTGGGGAGTAGGTGTGCGAAGAAATGCACGTGGCAAGAAAATGCAATAATGCGCTAATTGCCGGAATTGTGTGTATAGGGGAAAACCGTCAGAACATCTCATGATGTCTGAGGCGTGTCCTATGCCGCTTGATGGTGGAGGTGTATTCAAGGCATTAAGATGGATTTAATAATCCAACTTAATTGTCGGCGGTCGCATGTTGTTATGAGTTATTTGGGTGCTACCATCCGTCAACTTGACAGCAGATACGCATTAGTTCAGAAATCTTATTCGACCAATTTTGGTCAAATATTAGGCCTGCTTACAGAAATGCGGGTATTCCCTGACCTAAGGCGTCATTCTGCAGTTATTGTTGCGAGCGCATCTTCTCCCATGTGGTTCAGTAAAATGTCTCGGCATTCGTTGTGGCATCGGAACCACAATAGGGGTGAGATGCTGAGTGAGTGGGTGCTTTCGAGATGCATTCATGTGGTGAGCGAGCTGAGTGATATCTATACCATATGACGGTGAACGGCGCAAGTGACATTGACGTTACTTGTTGTAACGAAGCTGCTTCGCGGCGGTTTCGTTACACATCTAGCGTCAGTGAAGAGCTTGGGATTAGCGATCACAATCCGCATAGAGATCTCATATGATGAAGTCGCTGACCATTCTGTGTGTTGGCGCACTTCTAATATTGATTGGTCATTTTATGGCCACCAAATTAGAAGTGCGTTCATCGAGATATCTCTGCTGGTTATGTTGCAAAAAGTGCTAAGTTCTTCGAAGTTGGCTTGGAGGTTGAAGATCGTCATCGTCCAGAAGGTCGATCCGGCTATTAAGCCCGACATCTTCATGGAGGAATGGTATGCCCTAAATTTCATTGAGAAGATGTGGAAAGACGAATTCGCCAGGAGTGTACGGCTGGTGACAAGTGCGTGGAAAGACACCGACAGAAATGCCAACGTTGTCTTGGAGGGCAAGAGCCGGGTCATCGATGCTCTTTTAGCGACAGGGAGGTGCTACATCAACTGGTTCTTCTTTTTGGCGCAACCGCATGATGGCATACATCAATGTTATCGCAGCTTGAGCTTCGATCACAGAGTCAAGCAATGACATTTTGTTAAAGGGGTGGACAGAAGGTGTGGAGGCAAGAAAGTGCAATAATGAGCTAAATTGCCGGAATTGTGCATATAGGGGAAAACTGTCAGAACATCTCATGATGTCTGAGGCGTGCCGTTTATGCCGGTTAATGGTGGCTAAGGGGCATTCAAGACATTAAGATGGATTTTATAATCCAACTGTATGGGATAGCGTGCTCACAATGTTGTCAGAGGTCGGTTGCAGGAAGATTGCTCTTTGGGCGAGTTATTTCCGAGATAGGAAGGCTTGTGTCGTGGGAGCCAGTGCTTCGTTCTGAAGGGATGTGCAGCGCGGTGCATCTCATGATGGATCTTCTGTTGCGGGAGCTAGCTGCCTCCGTCAAGGTTATTCGGCTGTTCCTATCATTGTGAAGCAAAAATCTCCAAGCGTTGGATTGTTCACCCAGGCAAGGCAACGTGAGTTGTGTTTAAACCGTAGTGAGACAGGTTAGTTTTACCCTACTAATGACAATATGTTGTTGCGACAGCATTCCTGCGTAGTACCAGTGCATTGTATTTCTGATAAACGACAATGGATGTGATGCCAATTTTATTTGTAGCATAGCATGCCGAGCTAGTTACTTATAAAAACATTATTTAATACAATGACAATGCCTAGAATCAATTGTAAAGGACTTTTTTTCAACGGGCAAGTGGTAGAACAGCTCCCATATTATTCACATTGATATTATAGTGATATCAATTATTGTCTTTATGGATTGATATGAAACGAATTTTATTGTGTTGAAATAAATATATTAACATACCTCAAAATAGTGTATTAGTAACATATTAAAAAAAATACTTTACTATATATTATTGTGTGGTATATTTATTTTATTTAAAATCTGTGTATTCATTTGTTGTTAGACAGTTTTCAAGCACTGTACTTCCGTATAAGAGAAAGACAAAAAACAAAAACAGAAAGACAAATATACATGAAACGACCGTTTAAAAGAAAAATATAATTTTTGTAAAAGCGACGAAATTTATTAAAATTTTATATGTGTAATCCCTAAAATTACACACACTTTTCCAACCATACAAGCAAAACGTCTAAAGAAAAAGTAAGTTCTTACTCAATTCATTTTATTATTTATTAATTTCACATTATTTCATATGTTGATTGAATTTAAGCGCAACGACTTTCGCTTATCCGATGTCCCTTTAATTGAAAATTCTGCATAAAAGTAAAATATGTCCGGCAGTTACAAATTCGACTGTATGCCCTTTTCAAAACCAAACATTATCTTCAATGTTGCGATCTCTATCGTGATTTCAA